GCACTCTTTACAGTAGCCAAGAGTTGGAACCAGCCCAAATGTCCATCATTGGATGAGTGGACATGTTAAATGTGGTATATCTATACAATGGAATACTACTCAGCTATAAAAAAGAATGAAATACTGCCATTTGCAATGACATGGATGGGCCTAGAGAGAATTATATTACGTGAAACAAGTCAGGCACAGAAAGAGAAATACATGTTCTCACTTACTGGTGAGGGCTAAAAATAAATAAATAAATTCACACACACACACACACACACAAACTGGGGTGGGGGAAGAAGACACAACATTTACAATTCCTTGAAGTTGACATGACAAGCATACAGAAAAGACATTGTTGGGTGGGAGAGGGGGAGAGGGAGGAGGGAGGGAGGTTTCAGTAATGGGCCACAATAATCAACCACATTGTATATTGACAAAATAAAATTTAAAAAATAAAAATAATAAATAAATAAATAAATGAAAGTTGAGACACCCCCCCCCCAAGACAGAGTCCAAGTGGTGATATTAGGAATAAACAAGGTTTGGCCGACGACTCCACATAGAGATGAAGCTACACACATGCTGCAAATATCCATTCAGGTTAGCCTAGCAGATCTGACCACGCTTTGGTTTGACACTTGAATAAGCTCTAAACCATAAGACTTAAGGACTATTTCTTATGAATACACATGGAAGAAAAAAAATCCTCCAGTTACATAATATAATGGTTTAGTGACAGAAAAGTAAATAGAACCAAGGTCTTCTGCTACCCCTTTATAGTGTCTATTACCCAATATTTAAGTATTTTACAAATAAGGTCTAGAATGCGAACACAAAAAACCCACAGATCAGAGACACTTCTAGCCCTAGGACCATCACTCCTGCTTGCCTCTTCAATGTGGTGTTGTGACTCTTCCAAACCATTTGCCACAAGCAATCATCAGTCCTCTGTACTCTACTGTTGACATAATAGGAGTGCTGGTCATTAAGAGCCAAAGAGGCTAAGCTACAAAGAGCTAAAAGAGACTTGAAAGGAGCTTTAATGTCAGAATAGGGGAGGGACGTAAGGATCTCCAACAAACTACCAGAAAAATACCGCTAGTTCAGCTGGCAACTCAAATAACTGCACAAGTGCTTTACCTTAAGGTAACCATAGTACTTTACAGTATGCAGAAGTGCTTTATGCATACATCCTATTCCAAACAGATTATTTTTAAAATGTATACTCAAGTGTCAAGACTTAATGAAAATAGTTTTTATTGCTTTATCAACACCATTATTAAAGAAAACTGCCTTTTAAATTTTTTTGTAGGGCCGGCCCGTGGCTCACTTGGGAGAGTGTGGTGCTGATAACACCAAGTCAAGGGTTAAGATCCCCTTACCAGTCATCTTTTAAAATAAAGAAATAAAAACAAACAAACAAACAAACAAATAAATAAGTAAATTTTTTTGAAAACTGTGAGCATGTGGTTGTGAAGAATTCAATGACTAATGGTAGTTTGGTGCCACTGCCCTAATTCAACTAAGATGTTAGCAGTTTGACTGACCACTGCTTCTGAACCATCAGTCCAAAAGTCACCACAGTGAAAAGAGGCAAATAACTTTTTAGTATTATTATGAAAATAGTTGTGATCTTGCAGATCCCCTGAAAGTGCATCAAGGACCTAAGACAACACTTTGAGAACTGTGCTTTAAATCAATACTGCCCTAAGAAGAAAACAGTCCTCCAAAGACCCTTCTCAATAATAATGTCTTAATAATAAAATAATAATAATAATAATAAAATAAGGTCTTAATAATAATAAAAGGTACAAATGACTTCCTAACTCTAGTCATTTTCATCCCACTCCTTACTGTATATAAATCCCGAGCTTAAAAAAAAAAAAAAAAAAAAAGAGGAAAGTGGGTTTTCAAATGGAACTCTTTTGCCACTGTTCACAGCAAGACAGCACAGAATTTATTTCCAATAGTCCTACCCACTCAAAGATCCTGCCTTATTCCTCACAATAAAGATAAAGGTTCCAAGGGCATTACTACTCAGCTCCAAAATCTATTCATAGCATTTATATGAAAAAATTATGAAAAGGGCTTTTTACATCTGGTATATTAACAGCATAGGGACTAGCTGAATTGAACAGTCCAGAAAGCTCGTTATTATTACACTACGATATTCAGACCTTATAGTTTTCCTCTTACCTTTACTTATTCCTGAACCTAGACAATATATGCTTTTATTTCTTGCTATAACAAACTCCAATGCTGCCAAGTTAAAGGTCTATTTTATAAAAACTCTCAACTAAGTTGTTTCTTCGAATCAAAAGATATGGTTTATAGAATTTTTTTCATCCTTTTCTTACAACTTATTTCTCCTCCTCTATCCTAGTTTATTTATAAAACTTTATATAGGCCTCTTATTCTCAACTTTCAAAACAAATTATTTTTGCGCATTACTATTCTCAATACATACAACATACATTTCTCCATCTGTGTCTGCCCAACCAGATTATAACCCAATATTTTATTTTTTTAATAAACTCATCCGTTATTGGCCAAAACATCTGGCTCACAATAAAGATTACAAATGCTTATTAAACTATAAATTTTCTTTAAATCTGATTAAATGTCCCATTCTTTACCATCTTTGTCTATGCACCCAGACCGATATCACAATTTTTTTGCATGGATTAGGGGTTATTTTCTCCTTTGTTCAGAAAAAGAATAGCACATCCAGAAATTTTACAGGAGAAAGTAAGGCATATCAAGATGGTAAGGGTATGGCAGTCAAACAGGTATCCAGAACACAAAAAATAATAAGATTCTTTTATATAATGATAGATTCATTTCCGTTACAAGGCAATTGTTTTTTGCTAACCTTCCTCCTTTTGGCCTTCTTCAACAAATATCAATTTTTTAATCTGCTTCATTCTTTTTGTACCAATTGTGTGACTTTCCTGAGGAGTACAGAAGTATAAGACAAGACCTGACTCTACTAGAGGTAACAATCCTGAGCAACTCTTCACAACTTTTGATAGTTTCCTTAAAATCCTAAAAACAACAAAGTTAAATTAGCTTAAAGAAAAAAAGTGAACTTACCACCAAACAAAGGTTCTGGTTCCACTAATATTTCCTGCTTTTGAGGAATTGGAGCACGGACTTCTTCTCTAGTTTAAAAAAAAAAAAAAAGTGGATATTTTAAGTTACTTGTTTTCTTTCCATAATTATTATGAATACATTCAAATTAACAAGTAAAATGAACACCAGATTTAGTGACTTTTAGGAACCACAGTAATCATAGTAAATGAGTTTTAGATGGTTTCCATACAGAGCTCAACTAGAATAAGATACCTGGCATAGATAGTTCAAATGGTTTATAAAAAAGAACAAACAGAAAAATAAAAAATATTTCTCTTTCCATCTCAAGAACTCTATTCTAAATACTCTTAAGAAAAAAATGATAAAAACTTACCTAAACGCTTCAGGCAAAAATGAATGGAAAAGTATAGGCTTAACAGAAACAACATTATACTCCTACATCAAATAATGTATAATTAAATCACAAGAATATATTGGGCCGGCCCGGTGGCGCACTGCTACAGTGCGCCGCTTGGGAGTGCGGTGGCGCTCCCGCCGAGGGTTCGGATCCCACATACAGACCAGCCGCTCACTGGCTGAGCGAGGTGCGGGCGCAACACCGAGGGTTGCAATCCTGTTGCCGGTCCCAGTCCGGTACGGGCGCGACACTGAGGGTTGCGATCCGTTGCCGGTCACGAAAAAAGACAAAAAGGAAAAAAAAAAAAATCACAAGAATATATTATAATAAGCTTAAACAAATAATAAATTTTATGATAATTATGAAGGAGGCTAACAAAGGTATGATTTTAATTACTTACTAAATAGTTCCTAATATACAGAACAGAAAAAGTAATTACTCTCCTCTTTAGTATACTGGCAAGAAGAAAAAAAAATTACTCATCTTTTAAAAGCCTATCCTCTTCAAAGTTTACCTCCACTGGGTTTGCTACTAATCCATCTCTTTCAGTAAGATATATTCATTTAGATACAATGTAAAAATGGAGAGTGCTTTTAAAAGTCAGTTTAATTATTATTATTTTTTTTTTTTTAAAGATGACCGGTAAGGGGATCTTAACCCTTGACTTGATGTTGTCAGCACCACGCTCACCCAGTGAGCGAACAGGCCATCCCTATGTGGGATCCGAACCCAGGGCCTTGGTGTTATCAGCACCGCACTCTACCGAGTGAGCCACGGGCCGGCCCATAAAAGTCAGTTTAATTATTTTATAGCTGTAATTCAAATATTAAACTCTGCTTGGGCCAGCCCCGTGGCCCACTTGGGAGAGTGCGGCGCTGGCAGTGCCAAGGCCACAGGTTCGGATCCTATATAGGGATGGCCGGTGAGCTCACTGGCTGAGCGTGGTGCAGACAACACCGTTCTGAGGGTTGTGATCCCCTTACCGGTCAAAAAACAAACAAAAAAAACCTCTGCTAATTAATTCATCGTAAATAACAGTAGCTTCCAAAATAATTATCTTCCTGCTTGTAAGTATTGTAAGTATATAAGTCCCATATATATATTAATTTATGTTAGGCCCTGGTTTTTGATATCTGAGAGGTGGAACTCCAAAACATACTTTAAGAAATAAAGTAGTAATACCCATTTGTCGACAATCACTAACATCCTGTAATCAAAGAATCATCACTCAAAGAAATCCACAATAAGCCAAATTGACTGAAGGATAAAAGATAATTCAAAACTATTTTAAGTATTCTTTCCTACTGAATACTAGTCATTGCTCACAATTCATCTGTAAGACGAAGCTGTTAATCCTTTCATCAACAAAGAAATAGACTCATTAATTTTCTTAAGAAAACAATGAATTTAAAAGACATCTTTTACCTAAATCAGTCTTTCCATTATTGGTATAACCTGATTTTACAGTTATGTATATAAGTGTCTCAATCTAAACCAATTCAACTACTCAATAAACAAACTTTAATCTGATGAAATACATCAATTAGGGGGATGAATTAAGTAGTAATCCTTATACAAAAAGATTTGATTACTAAATATTTGAGATTATCTGTTCCAAGATTATTTGCTGCCAAGAATGGAAGAATGGCACAGAAATAGATGAATTATAAAAGAAAAAAATAACCTGATGGGTCTTCAAAAACTTAATGGGAAATGGATATTATGAAAAAACTATGCATGGGTTGCAAAATTATATTGTACCAAAATAAACTCATACTAACTTGTTATAACATGTCTAAACAGGATCTAGTTTGAGGCACTAAGAAGAAGACATTAGGCACCCCAGCCTGCCGAGGTAAGCCCAGAAGAACCCAGAGGTGACCCCTCCCCACTCTTTGGACCTGGAGGGGAGTGCCAGCCCACGAGATCTGGCCCTCTGAGGTGAGCCCAGCATTACCATGCGCTGCTGGGGGCTCATTCTATGATCACAGATTCTGCAACAGGACCCAAGGTGGTTTAACATAACCACCACCACACCTACTGTGAAGCAGACAACTCACCATCACAGTAGCAACCAGGGCCACTCCACAGCCAACCTCAGTGTAATAGAAGAAGCAAACCCTTTACCCAATGACCAAACATCAAAACAAAACAAAACTAGAACTACAAATAAACAAGAAGAAATGACACCACCAAAGAACACAGTAATGCTCCAAAGTCAGACTCCATTTAACAGGGAATCCTTGAAATTTCTGAAAAAGAATTCTGAGCAATGATCTTAAGAAAACTTGAAGAAATAAAGGAAGACTCAATTAAAGAACACAATGAAACAAGAAAAAATATCCAGAATATGAAGGAAGAAATCTACAAAGAGATTAATACCTTAAAAAAGAGTGTAGCAGAAGTTCTAGAAATGAAAGATTTACTCAATGAAATAAAAAACACAACTGAGAATGAGCAGCAGGGTAGAGCAAACAGAAGAAAGAATTTCAGAGTTTGAAGATGGTCTTTTTGAAATAACTCAGGCAGACAAAAAAAAAGGAAAAAAGAATTAAAAATAATGAGGAAAATCTAAGAGAAACAGCAGACAACCTCAAGCGCCCTAACATCTGAATCATGAGTATTCCTGAAGGGGAGGAGAAAGGAAAAGGTATTGAAAACCTATTCAAGGAAATAGTTACAGAAAATTTCCCATGTGTAGGGTGATATTCAGACCTTCAGATCCAGGAAATTCAAAGGTTCCCTAACAGATTCAATCCAAAAAGATCCTCCCCAAGACACATTATAGCTAAATTTGCAAAGCTCAAAGACAAAGAATTCTACAAGCAGCAAGAGAAAAGCGTCAGGTCACTTATAGGGGAACCCCGAACAAATTAACAGCAGACTTCTCAACCAAAACCCTACAGGCCAGAAGGAAGTGGAATGATATATTCAAAATACTAAAAGAAAAAAACTGCCAGGGATCCAATCAAGATGGCGGAATAGACGGTCTGCAGCATCACTCTCTCCCACATATCAACCAAATTTACAACTATAAAAATGTAACATCAGCCAAGCCAGGGCCGCTAGAGCTCAGGGGAAGAGGAGGAGAGACCTATGGAATTCATGAAGGCAGAAGAAACTATGATGAAAGAAAGAAAAAGCTGCTCTGAGCATTTCGGGCCACGTCTGCTTTAAGGCTCGAGCTGATGCGCACATGGAGCAGGAGCCAGCAGAAGCCACAGCTGCGCCCTTCAAATGGAGTTACTTGGAGGTGGCAGGAGAGAAGGGGGCCTTGGCGGCCCCCAGGACAGCAAGATCACTAATAGGGTCCACATGGACCCACACAGGAGCAAGGAGCCAGAACAACTGAGGAAGGGGAGCCACTCAGAGACTGGTGAGTCATCACAAGGGACCGGCATAGGACCCATCCCAAGGAAAGGAAATCTAGGGCAATCAGAGGGGGGAGGGAGAGGGAATGGGGGAAGGGGAGAGATTGGACAAGTGGCATAAAGAATAATTATGATTTGTAATAATATATATGCTAGCAATATTGATTTAATCAGCATATCTCAATGTTCAACCCCCCTAATATGTATAATCGATTTTGATTCAATAAATAAAATAAATTTTAAAAAGAAAGAAAAAAAAATGCCAGCCAAGAATTCTTCACCCAGCAAGGGTCTCCTTCAGATATGAGGAAGAAATAATGTATTTCCCAGACAAACAAAAGTTGTAGGAGTTCACCACCACACGACCAGCCCTGCAAGAAATTCTCAAGGGAGTCGTTCATCTGGAATCTGAATAATGGTGATCACTAACACAAATACACATGAAAAGAGTAAAACACCATTAAAACAAAAATGCCAGCAAGAAAGAGAAAGAAGCTAATCATCTCACCTTAAATTTCCAAGTAACTTTGAAGAAGAGAAATAAAAGGGGAAATAATGATCAAAAAATATTTATTTATTTATTTATTTTAAAGATGACTGGTAAGGGGATCTTAACCCTTGGCTTGGTGTTGTCAGCACCACACTCTCCCAAGTGAGCCATGGCCGGCCCTCAAAAGATATTTAAACCATCTAAACAAGAAACAACTAAATGACAGATATTAAGCAGCACTTGTCAACAACTACCCTAAATGTGAATGGACTAAACTCCCCATTCAAAAGACACGGACTGATTGGATTAAAAAGCTAGACCCAAGTCTATGGTGTCTTCAAGAGACTTACCTCACCTGCAGAGACACACAGATTAAAAGTGCAGGGATGGAAAAAGATATACCATGCAAATGGAAACCAAAAATGAGCAAGAGTAGCTATTCTTATACTGGACAAAACAGACATTAAACCAAAAACCATAAAAAGAGACAAAGAAGGCCACTATATAATGATAAAGGGATCTATCCAGCTAGAAGACATGACAATCATAAACATGTATGCACCCAATACTGGAGCACCCAGATATATAAATCAAACATTCTTAGACCTAAAGAAAGAAACAGGACCTAATACATTAATAGTGGGTGATCTGAACACCCCTCTCTCAGTATGGGACAGATCTTCCAGGCAACAAGTCAACAAAGAGACACAGGATTTAATCTATACCTTAGATCAACCGGACCCAGCAGATACATCCAGAACATTTCACCCAACAACTAAAGAATATACTTTTTTCTCATCAGCTCATGGA